AAAGAAGGGGTGCGCCCCCCCCCCCCCCCCCCCGCCCTCCCAGAGTCGCGTACATGATCGGAGAGCATCTCCATCCCCGTCCTAGTATCCAGCAGCACCACCGCAGCGTCGACTCCTTCACCACCCCCACCAGCAGCAGACGAAGAAGACATCCCTCCACCCTCCGTAGGAAACCCACCGTCGGCGACGGTAGTGCTGTTGCTGCTGCTGTTACTGCTGTTACCGCCGCCGCCGCCGCCGCCGCCCCACAGCTTATGCCGCGGCAGCGCCACCCCGTCGGCAGCGGCAGCACTATCACCAGCGTGGGCAACAGCAGCAACGCTGCCGCCGCCGCCGTCTTCGCTGCCGTTACCGTTGGAGGCGAGCAGCAGGTGCCGAGGCAGCGGGAGCGCGCAGTTCGCCAGGCCCTTTTTTTTTTTTTTGTCCGGCGTGTTGTGGGAGTTGCGTTTGTTGTTTTCGATGGAACGAAGAATCGAGAGACACCCCGATACGTTGATGGGATACGTACGTGTGAACCACGGTGTAAAAAAGAAAGACACCAGCAGCGGCCGTACGGAAAGGAACGACAACGGGGGGGGGGGAAGGTGTTGAACGAGCCACCAACGTGCAAATTATGGATCGCCCGTACAGCCAGAGGCGCAGCAAATAGTATTTTCGACAATGTAGGGCGGAACTCCCTCTCGGGACTTTGGGTCCATGACTACTCATGGTTGACTGTGAACTATCACACAGTCGGCAAAGTATTGTTTCGCAGAGATTTGCACAATATGGGGGGGAAGGAAAACAAAAAAAAGAGACGGGTGGGGGGTTAGGATGGGATGGGGGTGCGAGTGTGCGTGGGCCCAGGGGGGGGAGTTGTAGGAGATTGGGTGAAAAATCCGCGGTGAGGGTTGGGAGCTTTGGCTGCATCACTCAAGAAAGGAAACCGAAACAGCCGCCAAAAGCATTGGAATCAACAACAACAACCCTTAACAGCGGGGCTTTTCATTTGGGCAAAAAGACACGACGTGAGCCAACAACGCCGTCAGTATCAACAACAACAACAACAACATCTAACACGACCACCAACAGCCACTTGGACGGTCAATACGATACGTTGAGCGACGCACCTTCCCACAACCCCCATCATATACAACCCCCCCCAAAAAACTACGCCGTCAACAAACACCCACACCATCAACATCAACAACTCCATCTATGACAACAACCACCACACCATCGACCCCAGCACAAAGAACAACATGGGACGGACAATGCCTTGAGAGCGACACCACCACCTCCAACGTCAAAAACCGCGCACCCCAAAAGACAACCCTAGCACCGAACGATCACAACACCTGCGAAATCCACTGCCGCCTCCGTCGCTCCGGCGGCTTCTCCCCCTCCCCCGCTGACGTGGCCCCGGCAGCAACACCGGGGGCACCGGCATCATTGTCACCGTCACCTTTGTCATGCTCTCCCGCCGTAGGACCCACCTCCCCCTCCTCCCCAGGCGGAGCTCGCGAGGCTGCGGGCGCGGCGGGAATAAGGGGCTCCGTGGAGGTAGTGGGGGGAGGGGGGGGGCGGAGTGCGCCTCTGTCCTCTAGCAAAAGAAACGCCTCCACTATCCCGCCGTACCTGTCGAGCGATGTAGGCAAATACGGCGGACGGTAGCAGCGTTGGCAGAAATGGCAGCGCCATCGTCGTCGTCGTCATCACAGCAGGACTACGGTGGAAAGGTGCCATGACCACACCTGCTGCTACCATCAAGAAATGCTGGCCTTTGCCTTTGCGCTTTGTCGAGAGATGTCAATGTTGTTTACACTACATACGGGGGGGGGCCTTTGTTCGTCTTCACGAACAGCAACACGAACAACCACGAACAGCAACAACAACAGCACGAACAATCACGAACAGCCACAACAGAAACAGCAACAATCACGAACAGCAACAACAGCAACACTAACAATCACGCACGAACAGCAACAACAGCGACACGAACACGAACAACGACCAACACCAACACCACAACCACATACAACAAGATTCCAACGGAGTTGCACTGGACCCTCGCCGCCCCCAGCAGCCTCAGGCGAAGAGAACAGACTCACGCTTCGGGGGAGAACGTCTGGCACAGCTCCGACACCGCGAGCTCCGCCCTCGTCTTGACGGTGGCCAGGATGTTCTCGGCCCTCTCCCTCACCCCTCCCAGCACCGCCGCGCTGGACAGCTGCTCGTCGCCGGCCACGGTCTCGGCGAGAAGCTCTGCGCCGCACGCGGGGCCAAGAAGAGACGGCACGATCAAGGGAACGGACGGCGGTTTTCACAATCTTCCGCTTTGTTTTGCAGGCGGACCATGATGATGACGATGACGCTGACGCCGGCGGTACCGGCACTACTGCTACTGTGTGGTAGCAGCGCAAGCACCCGGCGACTGGAACAGACCAAACGTTGTCCCGACAACGGTGCCTAGAGCAAAGAAAGAGTCGGCATGGTCGTGTCGGCCTCCCACGCGTTGTGCCCCCAATGCGCCTCTATCGCCGCCACCAACTCCCCCCCCCCGATGACAATATCTATCCATCGAAAACAACTAAAAGGGAGTTTCCGGCTTGGCCATTTTTCAGAGCTGCGGCGTGTTGCCGGACTCGGA